TAGTCAAGGTGTACAAGTCCTATATAGATAACAGTATTAGAGTGAACTCATTAAACCCGTGAAACAAAACTTAACTATATAGAAGTGTGATAGTCAAATAAACACAAAAGAAACAATACAATTAGAGGCGTACTTAAGTGTATAATATCTATTTCACGGGTTTTTTTACTTCGCTCTAATAGAGTGATTGCACTTAAACCGTGCAACTGTACAAAATCTAAGTAGTATTAATTTGTACTAAAAGTGGACCTGAAGCAAGACGGTATTGAATGCTTCATTTGTATGAATTCAATTTCATTTGCGTACCGCATGCACGATTTACTAAATACAACTAAATCGCACTATTTAGTTTGTACAGTTGCACGGATTAAGTGCGATCACTCCACAGCAATTAAAACGATATGCTCTCTACAGATATTGCAGCTGTTCTTTTTTTCCGTAGGCAAAACCCGAGAAGCTAATCTCACACCTAGTGGAAGATCATTCAGTGATCGACCCAACATTTGTGGAAGATTTTCTGCTCACTTTCAAGACGTTTCCTGTTAACTTCCAAGACTTCGTAAGACCGCCAAAGATTTGCGGCAAATTATTAAACTGGTTTCTTAATAAGGAGTATCGAGACAAGGTTAGTTGTGTGTATAGATATTTTATTTTGCATTAAGTTTTCTCGCCTTGTTGTTATCGCGAGTGTTAACATTTATAGAGACGATTGGGGACATTGTAGATAAGGTCAAATGATTATGGGCTGGGATTGCTGACAGATAGAAGAAGTGATTGCTTCTTTGACATTTTGGATGAATTTTGTTTCTTCTGTTGTTCATTGTTTCGTTCGTTGTTTCGTTTTTATTTTTTCGTTCTTTCGTGTCTTTGTTCATTCGTGTATTTACTCATTCTTCTTCTTTTCATTCCTTCGTTCAGTCATTCGTCATACGTTCGTCGTTCATTCGTTTGTTCATGGGTTCGTCCATTTCCTCATTCGTTTCTTTTGTTCATTCCTTGGTTCATTGGTTCGTCATTCGTTCGTTCGTCGGCTCATTCCATTGCTCATTCGTCCATTTATCCATCCATTCACCCATCTTTTCATTTTTTTCAGTCATGTTTTCGTAAAATCAATCTGTTGATGCATTTTTCTATTTTCTCTTCTCCCTTCCATTTTTATAACCACTTCATTTCCTTCTTGTTTTCGTCTTTTCTCTTCTCGATTCTCATTGTCCTAGTTCCATAAATAGGTGACTAGAGTGATCGCACTTAATCCGTGCAACAGTACAAAATCTAAGTAGTGCTAATTTGTACTAAAAGTGGACCTGAAGCAAGATGGTATTCAATGCTTCATTTGTATCAATTCAATTTAATTTGCGTATGGCATGCACGATTTACTATAAACACAGAAACATCACTATTTTGTTTGTACAGTTGCACGGATTAAGTGCGATCACTCTATCATATCTCAAGATTAGTAATAATTAATCATAGCTTCTTTTGATCGACATCATTTCCCCTGGACATTCTGACTCGGTCTATTTTTACTCAAACTCCAAGGATTTCCGTTACAAATCACGCAATCAGAATTTGTCACGATATTGACTGGGTGTGTTACAGCGTGCCACTACTCTCCAATGTCGTTAGTACTACGCATGCTCAGTCGTTTTCATATCGTTTCGCACTGCTTGCTGGGAGATTTGTTCGCATGTTTGCACGCTTCGTTGTGTCACATTTTCGTAATCAATATCTTTTGCACTCATTTGAGCATGCATTGAGTCTAATGCATTGGACTAACATTCATTACCAAGCTACTAACGGTATTTTATRCACAGGTAACCCGTGTCATGCTTCTATGGGTGAACAATCATTTCACCGACTTCGAAGGAGACACTGACATGGAGAATTTCCTCGAATCGTTTGAAAAGGGCCTGGAACTACAGGTATAGTAGTAGAAATTATTGTATGATTTAACGGGATTCCTGTTTTGATATGGACGTGAAAGACTTAGGAGAGATGTAGGGAGGGGTTGTTTCCAGTATCCCTGCTCTGCACTCTTTATTCATACGTTCTTTGTAAAAATAACCTTTTAATGATAAGAACCTCTATGATAGAACGCTTTCCTTGTTTTTTATGTACACCTAATGTGTCACGCAGCATTGTTGTTATTCAATGTAAACGGCGGTGTTTGTTGTTGCGTGACAAGTTGCCAGGCAAGACATAAAAGCACAAAAAATGTTGCCAAACTAGAACTGCACCTCCAAATCTTTTTTTATGTATCTTCAATTTCGCGGCCTTTACATAAACGTAAGTGTTTTACGTTTTTTTACACCAGTTTTTTTTTTGTTGCGCGATAAGTTACTTGTCCAAATAAGGTGGAAAACGAGAAGCATTGACGCTAAACCTGAGCATATACTTTGATGCTTCATAAGTTGGTAGTTTTGTATCTCGTCTTTCTCTCATTCTTAAAATAGACTTTCCATCTCACTGAAGTTTTTCCTGTCTGTAGAAAATGAGTGGTCAGCTTGATTTACTCAATATGGCCTGCTCAGCGAAGGCTAAAACTCGAGAGGTTTCACTGGTAAGTGATTAAAACACTAGAATTCAGCAAGGATATCTTCTAAAGCAGAAMGAGGAGAKRACTTTCCTGTGTCTTCCAGTGAAAAAACAAWACGCRTATAWATTTGGACTTTTYGTGGATTATATTGGTGKGTKAGGATTCCCGACATGCTTTGCTGTGTAAGAATTCCCATCAACCTTTGCGCGGAAAGTTTTCCCATCATGCACTGCTGTTTAATGATTTCCAAGATGCTTTGCTGTAGAAAATGACATATTCCTTYCAGTCAAGCACAMATGTAACRCWAACCTTAWTGCTTTTCCTTATTAGGAACGWCCGTCACGCAATCAGTCTTGGGGTTTTGCTATCATTGGAGGAAAAGAAYTGTCATTCCCTATCTTTGTATCCAAGGTATTGTACAATAAGTATTCGGAATTTTGTCACGAGTGACACTCGATGCTATCCCGAGCGAAACCCGACTCTATCCCGAGTGTAGCGAAAATTTTAGTATAAATGAAATTGTTATTAATCTGTTTATTTAAGTTATTTTTTAAGTATAGAAAGTTTTTTTTTTTTTCTTTTCTAGGTGGAAGAAGAGAGCCAAGCATACGAAAAAGGCGTTCGGAGAGGAGACCAGGTATTTTTGGTTCCCCTTTTGAAAAATAAGAAGAAGAATAAGATTTTTTTGAACTGAATACGACCTTACGATGTTATTTCAATAGATTCGAACCGCTTTCTTTGAAAATCAACTAAACAATGCTTCGAACAATTTTTATAAATCGTTCTTTTAAGAGAAAACAAAGAAACACAATTTTCTTTATGCTTTTGAATGGCTTTTGTGTTAGAACATGCTTTGAGGAGTATTGCACAATAGTTTACGGGTTCCCTGTGTTACACCTGTCTACGCTGTCCAAACATAGTATTATAAATAGTACTTTTCTCATCGCTCGAACAGATTCTGGATGCAAACGCGAAAAACTTTGAAAATATCAGCTATGATAAGGTAAGAAGACTTCAG